GAGAGAATGAGAGAGAGAGTCCTCGTGTGACACTGTGGGCTAATGTGTCACACTGCAAAGTCATCTGAACTGCAAGGTCAGTGGTTCAAGCTTACCAGCTGCTCCCTGGAAACCCTATATAGGGTCACTATGGGTCAGAAATGATTCAATGGCACTTAACAACAACAACATATGTATATGTACATATATATATATGTAGTGAGAGAGAGAGACTCCTGGTGTGATGCTGCTCTTTGAAAACCCTATACAGGATCACAAGAGTTGGAACCAATGTGAAGGCATTCAACAACAACAACATATATCTACACACACATAAAGTGTTGCCAGCTTTGTGACTTTCTTTGAGAAAACACTTCATAAAAAGAGAAGCATATGGGGTGGGTGGGGAGCATAGAGAAATCTTTGCAAGATGTTTGAGGCAACCCTCTTTAAGTAGCAGTCTCTTAAACGATCCTACTTTGTCTCTCATCTCACTCTCTGCTTATTTACACAGCATCAAAAGCTCTTGTCAATTACCTGTGTCTAAAATGTGGCCACTGATGTTTGAAAGGGTTTTATTAATGGAACTCAGCAGTGCTTAATGAGCTTAAAGGGCTTACCTGCGTGTCCCCGGAGGTGCTGGCTCGAAGCAGACAGCAGCTTGCAACACACCATCAACACGTAGGCCAGGAAGAGCCAGTGGGACGGCAACACTGACTTAGCACAGACTCTCATCCTGGGGAGAATGCAAGGCAGGTCAGTCAGACTCAGCTAGAAAATGCTCCTGCCAATGCGGCCCTGAAAAGGGAGGAGAAGGCGGAGGAGCAGCTTGGCACTGGACTTCTCCCCCAAGAAAACTAAGAGCCAATCAAAGCTTATTTGTACTTGCATTAACTCAATTTTCAATAAACACCTTTTATAATTAAGAGTTTTCCAAGTTAGCACCATGCCTCTGTGAGAAATCTATTTATGAATTCCCAAAGTGTTTCAAGTTGCCCTCATAGGCCTGATGGCTGTATTCTGTAGCTAATGAAATTAAAAAGCTACAGTCTTAGAGTTGGAGTCAAAATACATAATATATGGGGTCAAATTAAAAAAAAAACACCACACACCCACACATATGGAGTCAGATAAAATAAACATACATGGTTACTACATCTGAAAAGAACCATCAGGCCTGAAGGCATCCTCCTGGTTTCTTGGACTGAACAGGCAGTTCCTGGGTTATGAATGAGACCTTTATTTCTAAGCATGTCTTTAAAGCCAAGTACGTCTTTAAGTTGAATATACAGGTAATTTGGAACAAGTGCATACAGTTCTCATTTAGACTTGCTTTAGTGCAAGAAGTAGCCCTGGTGGCACTGTAAGGTAAGCACTGGATTGCTAACCCCTAAATCGGTAGTTCAAACCTACCAGTGACTCTTGGAAGAAAGACAAGGCTGGACGCTCCCGTAAAGATACACAGTCTCAGAAACTCTATGAAGAATAAGTATTGGACTGCTAACTGCAAGGTAAGCAGTTGAAACCCACCAGCTAGTTTTGGAAACCTTATACAGGGTCACGATGAGTTGGAACCAACTTACGGCACACAACAATACCATGAGTCGTAAATTACACAATGGTAGTTGATTTTGGGTTTGTGTAAGAAACAAACCCTGGTGACGAAAAGTCAGCTGTTTAGACCCACCAGCTTCCTCGTGGGAGAAAAGATGCGGCTTACTGCTTCCGTAAGGATTCACAGCCTGAGAAACCCTATACAACAGGGTTCCCTTGAGTGAGAATGGGCTCAGTGGCAGTGGGTTTCATGCAAGCAAAGGCTTTGTCAAAGTCTTTTAAAGCCTTTGCAAGGATTTAAAAGTGGCACATGTAGCAAGTGGGGGAGACTGCAATTAATGTGTTTTGAGTAGGGATTGGTTCAAACAGTTCAAAGTAAGGGCAAATTTATATACATTAAAGGGCAGATATAAGTTGTGCATACTAAGTCAGATGTTCACAACATGGATCCTCTGCTCTAGAAGACTAATTTCATATTTTATAATAAATATTAACATAAATTATAATATTTTATAATATTAAAGTTTTGTGAGGAATTATGGGCAAGTACAGGTGAAGGACTGGTATGGCACTGTGGATTAATGCGATGGACTGTAAAGTCAGCAGTTCAAACTCACCAGCTGCTCCTTGGAAAACCTATACAGGGTTGCTATTAGAACCAACTTGAAGGCATTTAACAACAACAACAACAAATAGGTGACTATGGATTCCCTGGAGGGGTACAGATAATACACTGGATTGCTATCCAAAAATTTGGAGATTCAAGTCAATTTTGGAAGAAAGCTTTTGTGATCTTGTTCCACAAATTTAGGATCTACTCTGACACACATGGACAGAGCCGACTTGAAAATTGGTTTGATTTGTTGTGTTTTACAGGTGAGCATAAAGCAAGACTCCTGCTCTGGTGCTATAGGAAGAGCACTGGACTGGTTGTACGGAGGTTCAACCCTACCAGTTGCTCCTTGCTATGAGTCAGAACCAACGTGGTAGTACTTAACATCACCATAAAATACATTTAACCTCATATGAATGATTTGCTAAAGCACTGTGCCAGGGATATGCTCCATTTACAAATATGATTTTGGGTTCTTCTTAAAAACAAAAGAAAAACAAAATTGCATTTCCTCCATAATTTTCAGCCCTTTTTTGGCATTGTAAGTGTGAATTACATAGCAGTTGATTCACATTTTTTGCTTACTCTTTTATTTTTAATTCACTGTTCCAACCAAAAATCGGGTACTTTGGACCTCACTTATATGAAATAGGCAAATATATAGAAACCAAAACAAATTCTTGGATACCAGGGGTAAAAGACACACAGAAAAAAAGGGAGTCTTTGCCTAGGAGACATTGAGTCTATGTTAATGATGGTGGTGGTGGTGGTTATGTGCTTTGGAGATGGTTCCGACTCATAGCAACCCTGTATAGAGCTTCCGAGGCTGTAAATCTTTATGGGTGCAGAAAGCTTCCTCTTTTTCCCTCAGACCAACTGGTGGTTTTGAACTGCTGACCTTGAGATTAGCAGGCCAACTCGTAACCACTATGGTAGCAGAGCTCCTTACGTTAATGATAGATTGATTTGGAAAAGGTTAAGGAGAATAATGGTACACCTTAAAGAATATCAATGAATTGTACGTAGAAATTGTTGAACTGGTGTATTTTCATTATGTATCTTTTCACCACAATAAAACAACACTTTTAGAAAAAGTTTTAGAAAAACATTTTACACACACACACACAAATCAGGGCTCTTGGCATTTAAAATTCTTGTGATATTAAGTTCTGCTGGTTACCAGCCTCATGGTATCATTATTACCTCTCTGGGATTGGAAGGATGGATGGATAGATGAATGGACAGGTAAATGGAGAGACAGATAAGATACAGACAAATAGTCTTCACATAAGGGTTTTGTAGAAAACAAACATATAAACCTTCATCAAAAGAACATGAAGATACACCTATAGATGCAGTAGCTCAAAAGAGGGAACAAATCCTTACAACAAGAATCATTCCCATCCCCTCCACACAGAGTAGACAGGGATGGGCAACTTGGACATTGGCTACCCAAAGTGGGGCGGGGGGAGGGGCTACAAAGGCAAGAAGTGACTGGCTTACAAGCTTTCAAGAGGGAACCTAGATCCAGAGGGCCTGGAGGAAGGTAGAATCTCCACTGAGTAATATCCAATTTGTCTAGTTGGGGCTGATGCAATGAAATGCAGACGGGTCTCATGTGCTACAACATTGAATAATTGTTATCAGGACTGATTGTGAGGGTTGGAAATGTAAAGGTAGATGTTTTATAGCAAGGAGGGGAGTGATTAACTTTGCAGTCTAGGAGCGGAGGTCCCTGGGACAGTCAATGGAGAAGAGCGGAGAGAAGAACTTAACCCAGAGAAGCAGTGATGGCAGAGATGGAGGCTGAGATGATGACGTGGAGAGATGGAGCCGCTGGGGACTTTAGATCCAGAGAGGGAGAGAGGCTGTGTGCTGATGACTCGGGGGCAAGCTTGTAGTGTATACCCTATGGTTGGTTGATGATGCATGGAGGGGATTGTAATCATGGCAATTAAACCATATATGATAGAATGAATGTAAAACTAATGTTCTCCCATGTAAACTATCACATAATTCACAATAAAAAACTACCACAAGCCTAGCAGTTTAAACCAACACATGAACAATCTCATAGATTCTGTATATCAGGAGTCGAGTACATACTAGCTGGTTCCTCTGCTTTACAGGATCTAGAGGCTGAAACCTCAGTTAGAGGTTCAACTAGGGAAAAATCTGCTCCAAGCTCCCTAAGGTTGTTAGCAAAATCTGTTTCCTTGTGGCTATACAATAGGGCCTTTGCTGTCTTGCTAATGTTAGTCAGTTCCTACAGGCTGCTCTCAGGGCTTTGCTATGTGACCTCTCTACAAACCCTTTTATGGTTCAAATGTCTTCTTCCAGGGTTCAACTGATTAGATCAGGCCCACCAAGGTTAGTCCCTCCTTTGATTCACTCAGTGTCAACAAATTTGGGACATTAATTACATCTGTAAAAATATCTGGTATTTGTCATATACCCATAAACTAATAATGGGGTGAAATCTACCATACTCCCAGTTATGTTCCCACTATAAGGGTGGACTTATACAGGGCTTACCCATAGGGAGTCCTGGTGTGGCGCTGTGGGTTAATGCGCCAGACTTCAAAGCCGTTTGAACTGCAAGGTCGGCAGTTCAAGCTCACCAGCTGCTCCTCGGAAACCCTATACAGGGTCTCTATGGGTCAGAACTAACTCAGTGGCACTTAACAACAACAACACAACAGGGAGCCCTGGTGGGATCATGAGTGAACTGCTAACCAAAAGGTGGACAGTTTGAACCTACCAGATACTGTAAGGGAGAAAGATGAAGCCGTCCATGATTTAAGGCCTTGGGCTTTACGGAGCAGTGATACTTTGTCCTTGTAGGGTCACTAAGAGTTGGAATTGACTCATTGGCAGTGGGCTTGGTTTATACAACAAGCCTGCACAAATAGGTAAATGACCCATTCCCAAAAACATATCCATATATTTGGTTCACAGCGGTCTAACCAGCTTTTGATTGAAAAGCAACTGTCTTCCAGATGACTCCAACTCCTGGAGACGATCTGTGTCTCAGAGTAGAAAACGATACGGTTTTCAGTGTCTGACTTTTGTGAAGCAGTTTGCCAGACTTTTCTTCTCAGGCACTTCTGAGTAAACTCAAACCTCTGAATGTTCAGTTAGCAGCTGAGTACCTTAACCCTTTGTATCATTCCCTCAGACTTCAAGTCGTTTTAGTGTTGTTGGAAGGCACCGTTGAGAAGAGTCCTACTCACCGTGACCCCATCAGATGGAGCGGAACTTCCCCATAGGGTTTCTAAGGCTGACAATCTTTACAGAAGCAGACTGCCACATGTTTCTCCATTGGAGCAATTAGTGAGCTCAAACTACCAAGCTTTTAGTCGTCAGCTGATTGGCTTAACCATTGCTCCAACACGGCTCCTCCAAGCAGTTACGTTGTAAAATGCCAGTGAGTCAATTCTAACGTACAGCGACCCTGGATAGGGTTTCCGAGGAGTGGCTGGTAGGTTTGAACCACCAACCTTGTGGTTAGCAGTGCAGTGCTTATCCTACAGGGACACACCAGGGCTTATAGACACGGGCTAGTCTCA